CTCCCCACTAAAGCCAGTGCTGGTATTTGTGGCATCGCGAAGGCAAACAAGGCTGACGGCTATGGCTTTCATAAGCCATTTGGTCACTGAAAGTGATCCGAGGCAATGGCTGCACATCGATATGGCCGAGGTATGGTTACTTTCTTTATTGACCGTTCTAAAGAAGAATTTTGTAGCTGGAGGTTTTGCTACAATCTGTAAAAGATGAGAATCTAAAGCTTACACTACCGTTCGGTATCGGTATGCATCATGCTGGTCTGAGTCCGCACGAGAGGGCGCTAGTGGAGGAGGTAAGCCTGAAATCATCCAGTTTTTGCCCGGAGGCGCTTTTGTTGTAGTCGTTTCAATTTTTTTGCAAATTTTCTCTCCTTGTCCGTTCAGTTTTTGGCATTTTTTTATTCAGCTCTATGTCGAGAAGAAGATACAAGTGCTGATTGCGACAGCTACCCTGGCTTGGGGAATTAACATGCCTGCTCACCTGGTAATTGTCAAAGGAACGGAATACTATGATGGAAAAACTTGTAAATATGTAGACTTCCCTGTCACTGGTAAGTTTGCGTAGGATTTACACCATATCGAGATCTTATTTTATCGTTCTTTCTAGATGTTTTGCAAATGATGGGACGTGCGGGACGACCACAGTATGACACGAGTGCAGTAGCTGTGATTTTTGTACAAGATATCAAGAAGACTTTTTACAAGCGATTCTTATATGAGCCTTTTCCAGTGGAATCGAGGTACCCTTTTTCTTCCGCTTGCATTGTTTTTAGTAGTCAGAAATAGCTCCGGGTTTTTTTCTCATTTTTCAGAAACTTTAGAGGATTTTTTTGTTATAAATTCTATTGCATATGCTACATTTTTACTTCCGTCGCGTTGTAAGGCTGATTTTAGCCTCCTTCCGGTCTTAGCTAACCATGTAAACGCCGAGATCAATGCGGGTACAATTACTAGCAAACAGGAAATTATGGAATACCTGGCTGGTACTTACCTCTACAGACGGTTGTTTGCAAATCCAAAGTATGTTGCGGCCCTTCATAGCCGATCAATCCAGCTATCTTCCTATAATAATTATGAAGAATTGTAGTTACTACGGGTTAGAAGACTTATCTGAGGAATCCCTGATAAAATATTTAGTCGCTGTTGTTGATGGATGTGTAATGGATCTCCAGTATTCGAAATGTATTATTATCGATGAGGTGAGCAGCGCATAATTTTGTTTTAATACTTTTCTATTTTTAGTAAGCTACAAGTACAGCTTTTTATGAAAGTTGTCCTTTTATATAGCTTATCGTAATTATGCTTTTTCTCTTCCTTTTTTTTTGAATTTTTCTCCGTCATCCTTTTTTCGAATTTATTCGTTTCTTGATGGTATGAGCTGAATCTTTCTAGGAAACGGAAACTTTGCGACCATCACCTTTTGGAAGAATTGCTAGCATTTACTATCTTCGCCACGAAACCATGAAGTTCCTGGTAGAGAAGTTGGGCCGTGAAGATTCTATAGAGGACTTATTGAAAACGCTATCGGTGAGAAGCTCTTATCGCGCTCTGGAATAAATATCAGACTATCAACATGTTTTAAGCACGTCCCAGAATACGACGAGATACCAGTACGACATAATGAGGATGTCACAAACACGTAAGTTTTTGAATTTCTGGTAAACGGGCATCTAGGTTTTCATGTGGCTGCTTGGAA